AGAAGACCTGACTCATTAGAAAAGACCCTGATGCTGGGAAAGATTGAAGGCAGGAGGAGAAGGGAACAACAGAGGATGAGATGGTTGGATGGCATCACCGATTCGATGGACTTGAGTTTGAGCAAACTCTGGGAGTTGGTAATGGACAGGGAAGCCTGGTGTGCTGCAGTCCATGGGGTCACAAACAGCTGGACACGACTAAGTGACTGAACTGAACTGAACTAGGCTTTAAGCTGTAGCCAATCAATAATTGCCTTGCTTTGCTTCTGCATTTTCTCTATAAAAGCCTCTCCCTAAACTCCTGATGATAGACTACTCCTAACCTCTTCAGGTTTGTCAGTGCCCGCTTCAAATATTTTTTTGCTCAAAAAAACTCATCATTTTAAATATGCTTCAATTTATTTTTTAACTCTATGCTCAAGGCAGGGGGTGGGGCCCCAAAGTTGGGAATAGTTTCTTTTTTTTTTTTTTTACAAAGATAATTATCAGAGTTACTTGGCAAGAACTTAAGAGCAACACATAGAGTATGACAATTTGTTATTGTTCAGTTGCTCAGTTGTGTCCAACTCTTTGTGACCCCATGAACTGCAGCCTGCCAGGCTTCCCTGTCCATCACCATCTCCTAGAGTTTGCTCAAGCTCATGTCCATTGAGTCAGTGATGCCATCCAACCATCTCATCCTCTGTCGTCCCCTTCTCCTACCTTCAACCTTCCCCAGCATCAGGATCTTTTCCAATGAGTTGGTTCTTCACATCAGGTAGCCAAAGTATTGGAGCTTCAGCTTCAGTGTCAGTCCTTCTAATGAATATTCAGGGTTGATTTCCTGTAGGATTGACTGATTTGATCTTGCAGTCCAAGGGACTCTCAAGAGTATAACCATGCTTCCTGAGAATTGTTAACAACAAGAAAAATGCTCCTACTTAAGTGACAAAGCAAAACAAGATATAGCAACCATACATTTGTTCCCAAGCATATAAGTTGTTGTTTTTTGAAATACAAGTAATACAGTAAAATAAACTATCACTTGCTGGTGGATGAATGACTACCTTTCTTGTATGTTTGCATTGTCTAAAGAATACCTAAAAAATCCCTAAAGAATGTCTAAAGAAAATATTGCCTCTACAAATAATACATTTAAGCCTGGAAATTAAGTCAACAACATGGTATTTTTGAAGAAAATCACGCAGGAGAATGAAACAAGGCCCATGAGTTCTTTAAGAGAAACAGATTTTGAAGACTGCCAGGATGCAGGGACTGAGAAAGAAGTCTAGGATAATTCCAAGGCCCCGAGCTGGGACAGATACAAAACAAAGAAACAGGTTTGGGGAGAGCTGAGTTCTGTTTTGGACCTACGGAGTTTGAGGAACCTGTAAAGTCCAGTGGAGATGTATGCTCAGTCGCTCAGTTGTGTCTGACTGTGACTCTACAGACTGTAGCCCACTAGGTCCTTTGTCCATGGAATTTCCCAGGCAAGAATACTGGAGTCTGTTGACATTTCTTTCTCCAGAGAGATAGTTTCTGGGCTACAAATGGCAATCTGCAGCCTATTTATGTGTGCTTCTGTGTAATGACTGAAGATTCTGGTTAGTACTTTGAAGTTCCAAGCCCTGTTTTAATTACTTTTCTATACTTGATTACCTTAACTCCAAACACCTCCTATGAAGGGTATATACTTAAAATTTTAATGCAACTTGTTTTTTTCCCATTGCATTTTGGAAATGGTTAAGGCTGAGTCTCCTAGAAAATAACTGGGATAATTCAGTTTTCTTATCCCATTTCCTTCCTCTACTCCACCCTCCACATCAAAAAGAAAAAAAAAAAATGTAAATAGGAAATTGCCTTTCATCTCCCCAGCACCAACATTCCAGGTTTTAAACCAGAGTGTGTTTTAGGTCAATGTGTGTTTTTCTTGTTTTATCTGGAAAATCTGCACATATTTATGCATGTTCCTTTTTAAAAAGTAAGGGGCTTCTCAGGCTTTTAAAACTAATTCTATAATACTTTTTGATTAAAGTGCTACCAGAAGCAGAGTTTTTGTGGTTTGAGAAGATGCCCTCTAAGTGGGCAGTTATGTGTGGTTGGTAGTACAGATCATACTCTAAAAATAACTTTTTAGTAAACATCTGTAAGATTGTTTTTTTGGGGAGAGGGGTAGGAACTTGCTACTCTTTAAAGCAGGGCTGTCTATGATTCTGATAATAGATGACAGGAGGCTAGCTTTGTATTGATAGACAGTTCTGATGCTGAGGGCGGGGTCCGATTTGAAATGCAGCAGAATAGTGAGTCATTCACTGAGGCTAGGAAAGCTGCAAATATGGTGTAAGAGATGAACCCCTTGAAACATATCTTTCATACAGAAAACTTTGAGATACAGTGGGAAATGCAAACTTGGTTAGAATCTCAACCTTACCATTACTTAAGTCTGCAGACTCTGGACAAGTTACCCTTTCTGAATCTGTTTCCAGACCTGTAAAATGTGGCTAATATTATTTGCAAGTTTGTTGTGAGGACTCTATACATAGTAAGTGCACCTTAAGTGACCTGCTATTGGTATACTTAGTTCATTAAAAATGGTTCTTATTAATCTTGTGGGGCTTAATATCAAGAGCAGGTTCTTAAGCCACCATTGGAATTTTGGTTAAATTCTGACATCTGTACCCAATCAATTTAATAAAGCTTTTAGGATCTTGAACTAAGCATAAATAATTCCCTCAACCTCTGACTTTCTAATTCTTGGCCTTAAAGTTACTCAGCAAGAATGCAGCATGATTTTCCTGTCACCACTGTCAATCCACTGACAAACATAGCCCATGAATACTTTTTGGCACTTAGGGACTTAGAGTGTTAATACAGAACTACCAAGATTTTATTTTTAGCTGAATTTTTCTCTGTCCTCACTCTTTGTGCAGAAGAGTTAAGATTTGGGGAGAGTTCCCACCATTTCTTAAATTCTAAGAGTAGGCCACTGGGCTTAATTTAAACTAGCACTTTTTATTTGTAGGTGCTCGGTATTTTTGAATAAACATTATTCTGGAGATTTCTCTTCGTACTGTCAAATATTAAATTGCTAGAGAGCAACAGAAGCTGCATTCAAATTCAACAAAATGAAGACTTTTTTATCTGCTTGTGCACCATTCTGTTGTTGAGAATGATAAAGGCTGAAAAGAAGATAGCATGCATTTCAAACGGTAGCTTTTCTTCTGGCCGTCACACCTGTTTCTGCAGTGGCGGGGCTGTAAACAAGGCTGTTTAGCTCGCCTGCATTTCAGCACGTGTATGCCGTTCGGTGCTGGGGTGGACAGCTGGGGAGCAGTTGCTCTACAGCACAAGGAGCCGTCTGGCTCTCTGTGATGCCCGGAGGGATGGGATGAGGGGAGGACTGTTCTGTGTAATGATGACTGATTCGCCTTGTTGTATGGGAGAAACCAACAGAAGTAAGATTCGGAGTTGGAATCTTAGGTACGAATGGTGACTGCTAATCCCTTAATTATACAAATGCAAAACGGGACAAACGAGTACCTACCATATGGGTTTTTTCTTTTTTGACAACTATTTATGAAACCTTTATTCATCCATCCATGAAATATTAGAAAAATATATCAAATTTACAAAAAAATTTTTTACCACTATCTTTATTAGGACTATATTGAAAAATTAGGAAAGCTATATTACTATTAGAAAAACTATATTCAGGAAAAATTCTTTGCAGATTTGGTATTTTGTTACATTGTATTTTATGATTATTTAGTGCTACTCATTTTTTAATCCTTAAGAGTTAAAATTTTTACCCTATACAGGTATTTTCACCCTTTATTAAATTCCTAAATGATTATTTTTATTGCTATTGCAAATGTTTTATTTTCTATTTTGAGATATAGAAAAATCCTTTTTTTTTTCCTTTTCACTTTTATAAGTTGATCTTCCTGTTGTAATTGTGCTGAATTATTAGTTCATGTTTTTATTCATGTTTTTAAATTAAAACTTTTATTGTGGTAAAATACATAAACATAAAATTTACTATTGTAATCTTTTATTTTTTTGTAATCTTTTTTAAAATCTTAATCATCCTTAAGTGTACAGTTCAGTGGTATTAAATACATTTATATTGTTGCTGCCATCACCACCATCCACCTCTAGAGCTCTTTTCATCTTGTAAAACAAAAATTCTGTACCCATTAAACAGGAACTCCCCATTTTCCCCCTCTCTCACCCTAGCAACCACCGTTCTACTTCCTATCTCTATGAATTTTTCTGCTCTTGGCAGCACCCCATATAGATGGAATCATACAGTATTTGTCTTTTTGTGACTGGCTTATTTCACTTATCATAATGCCCTCCAGAGTCCTCCATGCTATAACATGTGTCAAAATTTCCTTCCTTTTTAAAGGCTGAATAATATTCCATGGTATGTATATACCATGTTTTCCTTATCCATTCACCCATCAGTAAGACATTTGAGTTGCTTCCACCTTTTTGCTAGGAAAACCCATATATGGTTGTTAAAGAGAATTAAATGTGTTCCTGGCATATAGTAAATACTTATGATATCTGCTATTATGTTTTTATTATGGGGTAAGAGTAAGCTTGACTTGGTTTACATATCCATAGATGCTTCTGTGAGAATCTATCTATTTCAGAAGCTTCTGAAAGAGAACAATTTGGAGTAGTTACCTTTTTTAAGAAAAATTACATTTGATAATTGAAAAAATGAACATTTGTTAAGAGTTTAAAGAATTCAGAAAAGATCTAAGCTTTCCTCCAACCAGGTTTATTAAACTTAACAAAATTCTATATACAAGGTGACCTAAACCTGCTGCTTCAAAACATGATCCTTTCCTAACTAAATCCACAGAGTGTCAAAAAACAACCTACTCGAAAAGTGCCCAATGCATATTACATGAATGGTTTAATAGTTCTATGAGATAATTAACATAATGTATGACTGAGTCCCTGTGACAGGCTGCAGAAGAACTGATGTGCAGGAGAACTGATACGAGATGTCAAGAGGCCATTTTGTGCACTGCCACTGTGATGCCGTCGTGTTTCTGGATCATAATGTTCCTGAAAGGCAACACGGAAGATATTCAGTAAAGTGCTACAAGTGGGTGGCAATGTAAGATTAAAGATGCTGTTTGATTTAGGATACAACTAAAAAAGTAATACTTATTTTTCTATATATGAAAGCAGTGTCTAAACACAATAAAACATTTGGGAAATACAGGAAAGTATAAAATATAAATGTGAAATTAATCTTATAATCCTATCCCTCAAAGACAACCACTATTAATATTTTCTTTTTAATCTGCATGTATACTATATATACATTTTCTCTCATTTTATTGATATAAAACTGTGATCATAATGTGCATAATTTTGTATTCTGCTTTTTTCAGTATTATTTGGAGGACCCTCACTTGCAATGTCTTTAGTACTTCTATTATTACAGACATTGTTTCTGTTGTTGAGTCTTCCTCTGTATCATTGCTTCCTCTGTATTATTTATTGCTTTCTTTTATTGATAGTTCATGACAACTCTTACTCTTCATTTAAATGTCACTGTGGTCTGAAAGCACATTAGCTCCAGAGACCAACCCATCTGGTCCTGTTATCCAAAGGGTGGAACCTCCCTCCAAGTACTTGGAATGAGGAATCACTGATGAACACAGGGCAAGCCCCGGTCGAGTTTCTGAGGGATTTTCCTGAATAAATAGGAAAGGAAGGGATCTGTTGCCATCTACTCACCCATTATCTGATTCTAAACACACCACAGGAATATCAGTGGGGTCTGAGGTTAGCTTAGCTGCTTGCTGGGCTAGAACAGATATCACCCCAGCATGCTCATCTGACAGGGTTCCACGGCCTGGAAGACAGAGATGATACCATGTTGCCTGACTGTCCAAAAATGAGTACAGAGGTACCATATAACTGAATTGAATTATTCACAAAGAGAGGGTTCTCATGGTCTCTTAGGTTATGTGGTGACAAAATCTTTCTGCCCTGATATTCAGGTTACATTAGCGAGAAAGCCAACAACAGCTTTTAACTCAGTAAGGTCGTAACTACTCAGTTTTCCAGGTCATTCCCATCACCGTCTCTAAACGCCTTCTCAAGCATATGAGGAAGCTATAATTCAAGTCAATCTGAAAGCAAACTGAAACCAAGAAGAAATTCAGAGGTGAGACTGACAAAAACAGGGCCAGAGACTTATTGACACTAATTAATTCCTCATGGGGAATCTGATTTCCTTTTACTGAGCTCAACCTCAAAGGATATAAAGATTTTTACTCAGGAGTTCAGCTGTAAGATCACCTTGACAGCATATATAAATATACTGTGAGCAGTTATTTCCACTAGAATAAGCTGATTGTTTTCAAAGAGCAACAGAATTGGCTTTTTACTAATGTTTGTTTTAGCCTGTAGATAATAACTAAATCTTGGGTGCCAGGTCCAAAAAGTAATTACTAAGTTTACAATATCTTTCTGTATATAAATGCAACACAATCCCCTCTGCTTGAAACTAAGTCAGGTCATAGATATGCCCCTATGGCAGGGATGATGGATTTATTGTTATGTCAAACATTAGCTGGACACACAGTGCAGTCTTTTGGGCCTTGAAGGTTTCTTGAAGGAATACGTTTAGTTTTAGATTTCTGCACCTGAATTGCAGCCTTTCCATTTGTGAGTGTGGCAAGCACCTCAAAAAAATCTGCCCTTTTTCCTCCAACCAACTGGTTTGTGTGCAAAATCTAACTGGGTGACACAGACTACTACTTTCAATTACTCTCCCAGCAACAATTCTGAGCTTTAAAAAGCCCTATAGTACAGAGGAGTAAGGAACAAGGTGTCCTGGGTTTACTTGTTCTGACATGACTTAGCTGAAGCCTTCCATTGTTTACCTTTCTGGATTTATTTTCTCATGTGGAATTGTTACCATGTATTGAGCATTATGTCTGAACTCTGTGTTGAGTGTTTTATATATATAATCTTATAGTACTGTGATTAAAAGACTCTGGAGCCAGATTCAAATCCTAGCTCAATCATTTACTAACTGTATGACCTTAGGCAAGTTTACTCAACCTCTGTGCCTCAGTTTCTTTACCTCATAGGGTTGTCATGAGGATTAAATGACTTAGTATATGTAAAGCACTTACAATAGTACCTGGTACACAGTAAGAGCTCATGAATGCAATTCCATAATATTTATTATTAAAAAAACAACTCACTAAAGAAACTGAGGATCTGAGATGTTCTTTTTGGCCCCATTCACACTACTAGTAAACAGAAGAGCGAGGGGTTGAACCTATGTGTGTCAAACCCTGCATCCCACATTTTTATTGCCTACTCACTTACTGTTAAGTTGAACTGAGAAATAACACCATCACCCATTTAGCAGGGTTACTGTGAAAATTAGAGATAATGTATATAGAGCTTAGCAGTCCCAACATATGGCATCTGTTCAATAAATGGTAACTACTGTCATTTTCTGAAGTCCTTTCTAGACCCAATTTAAAATGACTCAAATACGACTTCAGTAGAAACAACTGTGCAGTGCTATAACTGCAAGGAACATTTCTACTTTTATAAATGTCAATTGAGAAGTTTCAGTTTTCTAATCGTGTTATTTGGAGATTTTATCTACTCTCATCAAAGTCCCCAGAAGGTGTCAGGATAACAGGAAATAGAAACTAGAGAACAATAGCACACTAGGCTCTCAGTCAACATCAAATGCTATGCAGTCCACCAAAGGGATGATGTGAGATACTTACAACCTAGATTGAGTCCTTGTGAATCTGTGCACAGGACTCCAACAATGGATGGATTCTTCATTCTAATTCCAGAAACACAGGAAAAAGGAAGAAGATGATATGGGAAAATGACATTAATTATAACACAAAGAGGCTTTCTATGTACCAGACATTAACTTCGTGTTACTCAATCTTTTTTCACTTATCATCCACTCCTACCCCAAGAAAAATTCAATTACAACTATTTTAAATTGAATAGTTAAACCAATTTCTCTCTCATGAGAGAAAAGACTGGCACGGTACTGTTGTGCTCTGGAGGGCCAGGAACGCTGCAATAGCTGGGATTTTGTTGCCTTTGTTAAAAATGCATACTTTAGCATACCTACTCACTCGAAACAACTGCTGAGAAACTCTTAAGTAACAATGGGTTGCCTCATGCAGAGGAAGTGGGAAGCTGAACGGTACTGATGGGAAGGAGGTGTTCCCCTGTACACCGTCTTATATTTTTCCAATTTTGGATTTTACGTAGATATTTACTCATTCGAAAAATTTAAGGGATACCTTTCATTTCCTTAGGCGACAAATAACTGGTTACACCCGGAAGGAAATAAGCGTGTGTGTTTACGTTTATAAAGGAAAGGCTCAGCACAGGTGGTACATCTTTCCCTCAAGAGAACTGGGTTCCTGAAACTGTCGATGGACGACCCTGTCCAGACAATATCAGCACGACAGAGGGGTTGGGGCTCAGACAGCGGAGACCGGCTCGGGAGGGAATGTGCGGAGCCCCGGCGCGATTTAATTCCGGGTCACCTCGCACTCCCACCGGAGGCCCCGGGACAGAGCGTCTCCTAGACGCCCAGCCGGCGCTCGCAGGTCGCACTCTGCCCTGTTCAACTTCTCCAGCCCCAGGAAGGGCCGACAAGGATACTACTCACGTGTCCTCCAAATGCTGCTCTAAGGTAGCCTCCATCTCGTCGCGGGTCGCCTCCTTCTTCGCCACTGGTGTCAGGTGCCTCTCGGTCGGTCACATGACGTGAGCGGGCCGTAAGCAGGGACGGCGCCTCCAAAGGGACAAATTTCGTGGCGCGGCCTCCGCGTTACGTGCAGGATGACATCAATACGCGCTCGCCGCCGCGTATTGGCAGGGGTTCTGTTTCCCGCGCGGCGACGGGTGACTGAACGGCGTGAAATGTGAGGAGGGAGGTCTGCAGTCCCACCGACTCCGAGAAGTCGGGCCAGATCTAATTGAAGTTTTACAATAAATAACCTACCCTGTTCGGCGGGGTCTCATCCAGGCGGTGGGGCAGGGACAGACAAGAGCGACACAGGACCCCAGTGAAGCATCCCCAGGCTTATAGGGGAAAAGATTGAACACAGCCTAGAGGACGAGATGGAACAAGGCTAATGGAGGTTTGGGGAAGCTGTCGGAATTTTAAGGAAAAGGTTGGTTCTTCCCCTTTGGCAAGGGAAAGAACCTGGCACTTGTGACAAAGACTAGGTAGGACTACTTAAAAATAACCTTTTTAAAAAAGTTAATTAGCCCACCCATAGTCTCTGTCCAAAGATGAATATTAATCCCTTGGAGAATATTCTTCAGCTGATTATCTTTGCAAGTAAATGCTTTTATGTTGCTGTATCTTTTTAAAGCAAAATTGACACACATACTGGGTATACAATTCTGCTGCTGATCTTTTTCACAGATTTTAGCATAAATGTCTTTCCATGTCAGTAAGTGGCTTCCCAGGTAGCTCAGGGGTAAAGAATCTGTCTGCTAGTGTAGGACAGGTGAGTTCTGTCCCTGGATTGGGAAGATCCTCTGGAGAAGGAAATGGCAACCCACGTGGAGATTCTTGCCTGAAAAAGCCCATGGACAGAGGAGCCTGTGGGGCTACAGTCCATGAGAGCCCAAAGAGTGTGCACGACTAAGCACACACGCATGCACACACATGTAAGTTTTTATTTGCACATCCTTTGTAATACTTACAAAATGGTCCTCAGTTGATTTAGGCAACTCATACTAAAGTGCAGTTAGATTGCTTATAGTTTTTTTTTTTTGTTATTTTGGGGGTTTTGGCTATTACAAATGCTGGATATCCTTATAGCCAAATATTTGTGCAGTTTAAAATTTTCCTTATAAGTTACTAAGATGGAATTATTGGGTCAAAGGATATTGACATTTTTAAGACTTAATATGCAACTTACATGTTGTGCCCTAGAAAGCTGGTACCAATTTACAGTAAGATTGGTAGCATTTTGGTAAAAATGGGAATTATGTCCCGAGCTCACCCATCCCCGTAAGCCAATACTCACTCCCTGTGCTTAAGCCCTCCTTACACCACTCCTGGATCTACCTTTTCTCCAACCCTCTCACCTCCAGCTTTTACAGTACACCTTCTGTTCTGGGGCTCAGCTTCAGGGCTCCTCTCAAATTCAGAGTCTCCATTCCTGAGCTGTGACTGTGAGAAACTTGCAGCTACCTTAAAAATTACTTTTTTTTCTTTCTAATTCCAGTCTTGAATGTTGTAATTCAAGAGTTTTAGATTCCTACCCTAGAGAAATTGTATTAACTTAGCCAAAGCCTTTGACTGTGTGGATCACAATAAACTGTGGAAAATTCTGGAAGAGATGGAAATACCAGACCACCTGACCTGCGTCTTGAGAAACTTATATGCAGGTCAGGAAGCAACAGTTAGAACTGGACATGGAACAAACGACTGGTTCCAAATAGGAAAAGGAGTACATCAAGGCTGTGTATTGTCACCCTGCTTATTTAACTTATATGCAGAGTACATCATGCGAAATGCTGGGCTGGAAGAAGCACAAGCTGGAATCAAGATTGCTGGGAGAAATATCAATAACCTCAGATATGCAGATGACACCACCCTTATGGCAGAAAGTGAAGAGAAACTAAAAAGCCTCTTGATGAAAATGAAAGAGGAGAGTGAAAAAGTTGGCTTAAAGCTCAACATTCAGAAAACTAAGATCATGGCATCTGGTCCCATCACTTCATGGCAAATAGATGGGGAAACAGTGGACAGTGTCAGACTTTATTTTTGGGGGCTCCAAAATCACTGCAGATGGTGATTGCAGCCATGAAATTAAAAGATGCTTAGTCCTTGGAAGGAAAGTTATGACCAATCTAGATAGCATATTAAAAAGCAGAGACATTACTTTGCCAACAAAGGTCCGTCTAGTCAAGGCTATGGTTTTTCCAGTGGTCATGTATGGATGTGAGAGTTGGACTGGGAAGAAAGCTGAGCGCCGAAAAATTGATGCTTTTGAACTGTGGTGTTGGAGAAGACTCTTGAGAGTCCCTTTGAATGCAAGGAAATCCAACCAGTCCATCCTAAAGGAGATCAGTCTTGGGTGTTCATTGGAAGGACTGATGCTGAAGCTGAAACTCCAATACTTTGGCCACCTCAGGCGAAGAGTTGACTCACTGGAAAAGACCCTGATGCTGGGAGGGATTGAGGGCAGGAGGAGAAGGGGACGACAGAGGATGAGATGGCTGGATGGCATCACTGACTTGATGAACATGAGTTTGGGTAAACTCTGGGAGTTGGTGATGGACAGGGAGGCCTGGCGTGCTGAGATTCATGGGGTCGCAAACAGTCGGACACGACTGAGCGACTGAACTGAACTGAAAGGGGTCACGTACTATGGGTCATTTAAATTTTAGAAAGAGCAGTTTAAAACTATCCTTAAAAATTAGGTTTAGAAAACGTAACAAGCTGGCCGGCTGGCGACGGAAGTCCTGCCCCAGGCAGCTTGGCACTGCAGTACCGCCCCCTAGTGGTCCCTTGTGGTGTAAAACCTTGCCGGGCTGGATCATCTTCAGTCGCGCTCAGTTGCGGCCTACTCTTTGCGACCCCATGGACTGCAGCACTCCAGGCTTCCCTGTCCATCACCAACTCCAGGAGCATACTCAAACTGGTGTCCATCAAGTTGGTGATGCCATCCAACCATCTCATCCTCTGTTGTCCCCTTGTCCTCCTGCCTTCAACCTTTCCCAGCATCATGGTCTTTCCCAGTGAGTCGGCTCGTTGCGTCAGGTGGCCAAAGTATTGGAGCTTCAGCTTCAGCATCAGTCCTTCCAGTGAATATTCAGGACTGATTTCCTTTAGGATTGACTGGTTCGATCTCCTTGCAGTCCAAGTCTCAAGAGTCTTTTCCAACACCACAGTTCAAAAGCATCAATTCTTTGGCGCTCAGCTTTCTTTATAGTCCAGCTCTCAGATCGATACATGACTACTGGAAAAACCATAGCTTTGACTAGATGGACCTCTGTTGGCAAAGTAATGTCTCTGCTTTTTAATATGCTGTCTAGGTTTGTCATAGCTTTTCTTCCAAGGAGCAAGTGTCTTTTAATTTCATGGCTACAGTCACCATCTGCAGTGATTTTTGGAGCCCCCCAAAATAAAGTCTGTCTCTGTTTCCATTGTTTCCCCATCTATTTGCCATGAAGTGATGGGACCAGATGCCATGATCTTAGGTTTTTGAATTTTGAGTTTTAAGCTAGCCTTTTCATTCTCTTACTTTCATCAAGAGGCTCTTTAGTTCTTTGCTTTCTACCATAATTGGTGGTGTCAGCTGCATATCTGAAGTTATTGATACTTCCCCTGGCAATCTTGATTCCAGCTTATGCTTCATCTAGCCTGGCATTTCATGCGATGTATTTACTCTGCATATAAGTTTAATCAGCCAGGTGACGGTATGCAGCCTTGACTACTCCTTTCCCAATCTGGAAGCAGTCTGTTGTTCCATGTCTAGTTCTAACTGTTGCTTCTTGACCTGCATACAGGTTTCTCAGGAGGCAGGTAGGTGGTCTGATATTCCCATCTCTTTCAGAATTTTCCACAGTGATTATAGGAGTCTCAAAAAAGGTAGTGATCACTTTTTGTGCTGTTACGGAAGGTCTTTGGAGGAAAAACGAGCAAGTAGGAAGAGGATGATCACTGGCTCAAACATCCTAGTCCCTCTGGAGGTGGAAAGACAGGCTATTCCACACCACCCCCTCTTTCTGTGTCCTCTTGCTGTTTTTTCCCTGCCCAGGTAGGCAGAGGAAGCAAGTTGCTTATATAAGTTACAGAAGTGCTGGGGGTTTGACTGATGGTTAGTTGAAGGCGGTGTCTGACGCCTAATTGTTTTCTAGTTTCTTTAGTTTGTGATGACTCTGTTCTCGGTGTTGAGTGCTGATAACCATTTTTCGTGTGATAGAAGTCCCAGGACGCCAATATCAGAGTACTTGTCTCATTGAATTGTAATTTTTTATGTGTTTACTTTTCAAGGCAGAGTATGTTCTGCATCCTGAGCACTGCAGCTGTGGAGCACAATAGGAATCCAGTAGTATTTATTGAAGTATCTTGATGGGTTTTTTGAGAAAAGGACTCTGTGTTATGTAAAGAAACTTTAAGCTCTTAACTTTAACCACCTTTATCCTTTCCTCCCTCCTCTATTCCATAAACAAACTCTTGGGAAATGGAAATCCCAGGAGGATCCTGAAGAGATTGTCCACACCCACATGTCCTGCCTGGGAAGGGGGAAATGAGAAGCTGGGTGGGGTGAACCAAACCCTATAGGTCATCTCACAGCTGTTGGCCCTGGACCCTAAGCCCTCTTCTTTGGCTGTTAGGAGCAGAATCCTCCTGGTAGGGAGGATTAATTAAAAATTAATTAGGATTAATTAAAAATCCTACCATTTTAAAATGGTAGTCCATTTAAAAAGTGACACTCTGCAAGAGGCTCTAGCCCTCCCGTAGGTACAGAGGACTCTGCTCTGCCAAGGCCAGCCCCGCTGGTTAACTCTTACAAGTGCTTAGGGTCTCAGGTCTGGAGTGGAATGTGCCTGAAGCTGGGAGGGGGAGCAGTTCCTCACAGGCCACCAGGGGGCACCAAGCTCACGGAAAACCCTGATCAGGCCCGAGGAGCCTAGGTGAGGGACAGGAGCGCTCAGGATTCCGTAGCTGGTAG